AAAAGCTGTATACAGGTACTAAATTTCAATATATAACGTATTCAAATTACATTCAATTATATATAAGTAATCCCAAGCAGTAACCCAACTTTCTTTGTCTGAACATGGTAATTTATTAGAAGTGCTTTCCGCAGATTACTAAGAGACTGGGCTCATTTGGAAATGCTCGACTTGTTTCCAAAGCTATATGGGCCGCTGCGGGTACAATTTGGTCAATTTGGGATACCACAACGCAACCATGCAGCAAGTTACTCTGAAACTGCAATTCTCACAATGATACTAAACTTTGTACAGAATCTTAATGGCTGAACGGTAAAGGACCTATGTGAAGCCAAGATAATCAACGTAGCTACCAGAGGGAGACTTTGTACAAAAGTCGTTTGCTTGGGTACCTCCGTCCTATTCGTGTATCAACCGTAAAGCAGTTGTGTTTGCATGGCTGTGTTTCGGTTTGAAGGGTGGGATATGGTGTGAATGTGTGTGTGTGGCATCGCATGTGGGATATCATGGACGAAACAGTATACTCTGTTATGTCCATAGTACTGCTCATGTCTATAGGTGACGGTTACCATTTTCCATCAGGTGGGTCGTCAGCTTGTTTGCCATTCTAAGTGGTATAAAAAAAAAGCTAAATTGGAAAGGGATTGTCAGTAATGGGGGCATTAATCACCATTGCTAGCAATATACCCTGTCAGGTCACCCATTGAAACCATCGTATTTTTAATTCTTGTTGAATTCATTTCGTTAGGCCAACTGACTTAGTTTTATTCTCATCTATCACTGATCACTGATACTCCAGGTATATCATTATCAATAGTGCAGGCGGGGTTACCGTTGAATTAATATCCATTAAAAAAAAAAAATGTAGCGAAATTTGTTCGCCTAATTAAAACCCTAATTCTCTTGCATTTGACTCCGAAGCTTTACCACGAAGAAGTTATTCAAGTTACATTTTGTTCAGATTTGAGAATAATTCATAACTCCTACAGCTTTTAAAGAAATAGCACATTTTTTTATTAACATTTATATTTTATCTAAATAATTTAGGATTCCCAAATGCAGAATCGCGCATTTAAAATATTTTCAAGCTTATAATTGCCGCTGTTTTCTTTTCTTATTTGTACTTGGTAAAATCGACTCTCTTCTCTGATAGGTAGAGATTGCATTAACGATATGATTGCGCTTTTTGCTTCCATTTGTTTGTAATTCTTTTATGTTTTTTATTTTATTTCAACAATAAAGTGTTAAAAATATATATAAGACATTGGTAATTCAATAGAATAATTGCTTTACAATTACCAAATTACCAATATCGAGCGACATCTAAAGATAGTGAATACGGCGACGTCCTTGAGGACAGGAAGACATAATGATTGGTCGTATTAGTTCATATGACTCAACGGGATGTAGGTACGTCTGTGTTCAGTCTACAACTGCTTAAACGATCCTATTGTCTTTGTAATATTTTTAAACAGTTGCTATACGTGAGCTGCGTCAAGGGAAACAATAAGTCATGTTATTATTACACGAATCTAATTACATGCAAAATCTATAGACACGTCAGTAATAAATCATTCTTTAAATTGTATGAAATGACAAAATTTAAATTAAGCATACAAAAGGTCTCAATATGTTTTATGCATATATAATATTCGTAATATCTTCACCAATCATAAATTGATATTAGTATTCAATCGATAATATTTATTTTTGAGATCAACATAGGTCTAAGTTATTGCCACTATGGGATTTTTTGAGGAGAGAATTTCTACTAATTACGTTTTGTACATTTACATAACCCATCTCGTCACATTCTAAATAAAATCATTATAAATCTAATATGTATATGGATCATGTCTATCGTAATTTATTTCCATGTATATTTTATTTGTATTAAAATAAGATGCGCTATTTTACTAATCAATATTATTAACGATTAAAAAAAATTTAAAGTCTTTGTATTTGTTTTTCGCAATCAAAGTCTACCTATCAATGTTTTAATCCGACGCGAGTTCAATGTCTCTTATCTATACATAACTTGTCCGATATTGTTATTACGGATCATTTCATATATGGAATTGAAATAGTACGTGTCGAGGACTAATATGGTTATAGTTTTACGATTACAACTCATAAAGTGTAGTACAATAATTCATACTTTACGACACGCCATACTTCATACTCTCTCCCGTGAGAATGCCGAGTAAGTTTATAAATTTTTATTCATTTCCTTTTGCACTGCTGTTACCAACTTACTACACTTTTACCATTGTTTAACGTTAACAAAAACAACATTTAGTTGTAAATCTACCTTTGTTACGGTGATTTTCATGTGTATTATAGTACCATATTTTCTACTTCGATTATGAATGTATTTGTAAAGGTTATTAAACGTTTAGAAATTTGCACGTATGTTATTCAATAATTCATAAACGGCTCAACATATTTGAATGAAAATTAAATTCAGAAAATAACTACTTCCATAATTAACAATTCAATGTAAGTCAAAGATATGAGAAATAGCAAAAATAGAAGTATCACATAAACGTTAAACAACATTCCTTTTACAAAATAGTAGGAATGAAAAATCGCTCAATAATAATATTAATAAAAAATATATTAATATAATATATATTAATATAATAAAAATAATAATAATATAATCGAATATTAATTTGATAAAACTTCCCTTAAGGCCCATTAGGAATAATCTATTCAGAAGTCGATGAAGAGCGAATTAATATTCACTTAAATTAGAATTTACGAGACCGATTCTATCGGTACCTGAACTTTTAAATACGTTTCGCAACAAATCGCTCTTAACTGAATTGCTTTAGTCCATTAGACTCGGGGATAAAAGCTTCTATCGGCCGTTTAAGAGAAGTTCTTCTTTGTTAGCGATATATGCACCGATGTGGGCGAGGTCCCGACTCTCGAGTCTCCGACCTGCGCCCACGGCTGACCCTACCTACGTCTTCTTTATAGTCTTGTAATACATTGTAAATGTAATCTAGGAAGAGATTCCGAACTTTACGATTATTGGATTAACCGCCGCTTTTGTAATAATGAGTGAAAACTAGTATTTACTCGCGACTTCGTCTATGTGACTGGGATATCTTGATTGATATAAGATGTTGCCTATTGTCATTCTGCGCTCCAAATAATACGTCGTTTAGTAGCCAAAAAGTGATATACAAACAAACTTGTTTATTTTATAATTTTTTTTTTTTATACAACTTAGAATGGGAAACAAGCTGATGGCCTACCTGATGGAAAGTGGTAACCGTCGCCGATAGACGTAATAATACTAACTTTAAGCTGCGACTTTGTATTAATTAATTGAAATAAAAAGATGTCCTTCTCCATCCCAAATAGTACGTACATATATACTAAACATGATGATTGATTAAAGTTTTAAACCGCTAAGATGCCTCTCGTTTATTTGCTAGTATAAATAAACAAAGGAACTCACTTTCATATACTATTAGTAAGGATAACGGCTGCATGCAAGTCTCTTGGGTGATATGAAAATAATTGAAACGTCTCGCTACGTGGAATTCATAGCACGTGTGGCGTAATGCCAAACTCTAGACTCCTCGATATCTTTATTGAGAACATTTTCACACTCAATTCAATCGCATCTGATTGCGGTGCACTGAACGAGTAAGAAGCCAGGTTCAATTTTGTATTATTACCGTAATTTAATTTTTTTTTTATGCAACTTAGAATGGCAAACAAGCTGACGCCCCACTGATGGAAAGTGGTAACCGTCGCCTATAAACATGAGCAGTACCATGAACATAACAGAGTATACTGTATCCTCCATGATATCCCCCCCTGAATGGCCATTCTTGAGGACTCAGGTGTTATTCCTCTGAACGCTGTTAATTCACTGCCATATCTCACTTTTCAAACTGACTATATAAACACAACTGCTTCACAGTAGAAACACGAGTGAGAAAGAGGTGCCTAAGCAAACGACTTTTGTACAAAGTCTTCCTCTGTTGAATATGTAATTTAGATAATATAATTTAGATAAAAGTAATAAAAAATCAAGCATACAAACAATCTTAACCACAGTTCAATGTACATTTACCATCATCATCATCATATCAGCTTTTAACTGTCGACTGCTGAACATAAGCCTCCCTCTAGGAGGGTTTTGCCAGTAGTTACCACCCTTACTTGTTCATTTATGCAAATAAATAATTGATTGATAGGTATACAGTAGATGTAATTAAAAGTTGAAAGCTGTACTGAATTATAATCAAGCAGTAGCTGTTGTTTCCATTCCCGTAGGAATTTCGGAGAATCCTACCTTATTGAATGTTTACGTTATAAAAGTAATCTTTAGACATTTAGAATTTCAAGTTTTTAATCACAGCTGTCTTTTAAAATTGTATAAGATATAACTTGTTTTTATATCTTGACACAATAACGTCAGTTAAAGTTATAAAGTCGCAATTTTCTTTGTATTTTTTAGTTTCTTGTTTTTTGTTAATTCTTCCAATTCTTAATACGTTTAATTATTATAAACACGATGATGTGACCCATTTAGTATAATGTTATTATATAATGAACATTTCTTATTTTTCTATCTTAAATATCAAATGATTTTGAAATATATCTCATATATTCTTAATATTACATAAATATATTTGTGTTTATGTAATATTGTAATATATATATATTAATGTTACATTTAACTGTTTATTTGGAGCTTATGCGTTGATTAGTATGAATGTTGTTCGTACAACACTCGCGCACTTTAGTTGCCCGCTAACGATATGCTTTCCCATTGTATTGGTTTGACTGGAAGAGATCTCTTACAGAGATAATCCACCTTTGCTCACAATATTTATCAATGTAATTTACAAGTGCAAAAAGTATATATACTATACAGTATAATAACCGAAATTCACTTTTTAAAACATTAAACTTAAACACTATTCTGTAACGAGAAATAAAGTAAATTCATTATAAACTTTTAAGACACAAACCTTGCTTTCCAGCGTTCCTTTGTTCTCAAGCGCGTACATAACCGCTTCAGAGATCTTTCCCTCTATTTCTCTGAGCTCCACATCAGCATCAGCCTGATCTAATCTCTCCATGCCCTCCACGTAACCAGCCCAGGGCGCATCCAGTTCAGCTAGTAGCGAGCCAATGCACCTATCAACAAAGTAGATTAAATCAATGATTGATCAGACAGACTATGTGATATCAAAGGGAGGCGATGTATGCATAAGAGGAGCTATGAAACTAGATGATGCAAGAGATTTATTGATATATATGTAAGGATAAAAACCTTTGGCACTCGGTTATTTTTGTCTGCTCCATCAAAGGAAAATAAAAATATATAAATAGATAGATTTAATAAAATTACAACAAAACGATTCATTTATAACAAAAATATTTTTCTAATACTTTCATGACAGAAATATCTTATACTTTTCTTAATGGATGATAATGGGATAGTACCATAACCTTGCCTGCGTTAACAGTTTACGCTGACGGAGTTATTATTATTATAAATTTATAAATGTTATTTGAAATTATAAAAATATTTTAATGACATGTTTAACCTATGAAACTAATTATTTGTCAAAAAACGAAAAAAATCAATCCTCCCATTTTTTTTTCATTTTTTTTTATAACAAATGTTTAATATAACAATATAATCATCATCATTATTATCATCACTCGAATCATTTATATATATTATATTTTTTCTATGTTAGTTAATCAACTAAGCATAAATAACTTTGAATTCGATTTCGATGCAATTTAGCAAATTATATTTAAAAAATGTTTTATCGTAATAATATCTTCTCGTGGGATAATTTGCAATTGAAGACGACTAAGATGAAATCGGGTAAAAGTTATTAGATAATATACGACAAGAAAGCGTCGCAATTTAATAGTTCTCCACTTAAACTAAAAATTGAAACCCAGATTGCTACAAGCAGATGTCAATTTTATAAAATTAACTAACTTTGGATATTCTGCTCCCTTAAACAAGTGACTAATGAATCTATCGATAAATGATTTGGCTGCCGTATGCATGACTAGTTATACCCCGTGGAATTGCCCGCATGCATCTTTCTATAACCATATCTTATGTTTTTATAAGTTGGGATACCTGTGTTCTATATTTTACCATAATTCAAATTCGCTTAGTAGTTTTTGTGTAAAAAAATAACAAACATCAATCTATCCTCACAAAGTTTTCGTTTATTTGGTAGAATCATAAATAATAACTAATCAGAAATTATTTTAATTAAATTTACTTGAATAAACGTATTATTATATTATTGTCTAGTAGTGGGTATAGTGAGTAAATTTAAAATAATTCTGAGATACTGCGGTAGGTATACATGCATTCGCTATTATATTGATTGCAAACATGTTTGACAAAATATGGGCAAGTTGATACTTAGATATGTGCTACATGTATAAATAATTTTGACTTTTTATTTGTACTATGGCATACCAGCTGCAATACTCGATAAGATTACAGTTATGTTTTAAAAAATATTAATAACATTTCAAAAAGGTTTTAATTATATTATGACTCTATACATTCTGAAACAGGTTAATTAAAACAGATACACTTGTTTCTTAGCCACTCGTATATTTTCAACCTACCTACATGATAACAGCGAGAACAATTTTAATTAAGAGTATTTCAACGCCTCGCCACGTATTTCCCCGCTTTTTGTTTGACTTATAATATTTGTTATTTCTTTTTTATCTTCTATATAATGAGTTTTGTTAGATGTAAAGATAAATTTTAAGCAAGAAATCTCTGTTTATCCCGTAAGAGACTTAGCGTGTAGATAATTTAACACATGTAAGATGGGAGAAGGGATTGTTAGTAATCCACATCTAGGTATATCAGCCGTTAACTGTCCACTGCCAAATATAAGCCTATATAGGAACTATTGGAAGGTTTCGCCAGTAGTTGCCACGCTCGACAGGCGAGTTGGCAACCGCAGTTAGGCTCTACTGATGTATAAAGAGGGATGCTGCTGTCCATCCCTCGACCATTGAGTTTCCTTAGTCGCCTCTTACGACATCCATGGGAAAGGAAGAGGCAACTGTCAGATCGACTTCCTCGCAGTCCCACCTGGTAACTATCGTGCTTCCAGGGGAATTCATCACGATGGGCTCTTTCAATAGTACTCCGTCAGCGTATACTGTTAACGCAGGCAAGATTACTATCCCATTATCATCTATTAAGAAAAGTGTATATATTTATATCGTATGTAAATATTTGTATCATGAAAGTATTAGAAAAATATTTTAATCAATACAGAGTTAATTTGAAATCATAAAAATATTTTAATGACATGTTTTACCTATGAAAGTAATTATTTGTCAAAAAACGAAAAAAATCAATTCTTCCATTTTTTTTTTCATTTTTATTCTGCCATCGAACTTAACAACTAGATGCGCAATATTAGTACAGAATAACTTTTTGTTGTTTTTCAATTAATATTTGCTTGGGGAAAAATAATTAATTTTATAGGTACAACATTCCCTTTAAAACGCCCGTGATTTTGATTTTATCCTATAAATATTAAACAGTGAAAATTATCACTTTCTATTTGGTGAGCCGCCAGCTTCTTTGATATTCTAAGTTACATAAAAAAACACTTGATAGAGCAGTTTAACTAAGTACCAAAATCCTGATATCGAGTCGAGATTTTTTTACTGTTACACAAATAACTGGATTACAATGATGAAGGTCAATGTCTGCCGGTTCAACTTCTTCAAATAGACTATAGAATAACTAATTTGATAACTCTGTTAATGTATGAAAATTATATATTACTTAAAGGAGATTGGCTAACTAATTTAATTTTATATATGTAATATTATACACTTCTTTTTTCAAGCTTTTATTTAACTTGCAATGTATATTTGTTTAGATAAACTCAAAGCTCAATTAGAACCACTCTTTAAGATCCGATAGAGTAAAATTTTTGTATTCGCCTTTTGTTCTGATGACAGTACAATATTTTATAATATAATATTTATAAAATAGCCGCCGTCAGCTGATAAAGGAATCTGTTTGATTTTCAATTCCCTTAATATGGATATCAAATTAAAGGGTTTGAAAAGTTTAAAGTGATAAAGATAGTGATGTGATGACACTAAATTCAATATGGCCGCCGCTCTAAAGTGAATAATATTACACATGCGTATTTTTAACAACGTTATAAATAGATTTCCTTTAATTGTTTAAGTATATGTTTAATTATTTAGTTATTTTTTTAAAACTATTACCATTAACTAATACTTGAAGAACATATTTATTTCGCTTGCGGTAAGTCTACCATTTCCATTTTTTATTTGTGTATTCCTGAATGGTATAAGAAATCTCTGTTTGAAATTTAAAGATTCTAGAATCAATGGTTCGGGCTGCACATTAATTCAGTGACTTTCATCTAAATAGGTTATGAACTTGTAGTGTCATATGCAAATGCGTTGCAAGCTGTTTTAGTTTGACTGTTGTAGAAACTTCATTAATACTAAAGTTATTAAACATGGTAAACTTCATTAAATGTACATTCCATTGTCGTAGCAGCGAGGAGTAACAGAATTGAGAATGAATAATGAAATAGTTCAATTGTTTACAGTTCACAATAGTTTAAATAATAATAATTCTGAATTTATGATTTAATTTTTTAATCATTTATAAATGTCTAGCTTTTACAACTTTAGGATAAAAAGTAGCCTATAACTTTCTCCATATCATATACCTAGTACGTGGATACAAAATTTCACAGAGTTTGATTAAGCAGTTAAGGCGTTATAAGGTAACAAAGAAACAAACTCACTTTCACATTGATAATATTAGTAAATTAAATGCATTTATTTATATAACGATGATACCCTTCCATATCAGAGGGTGATACCTTCACAGTTTACCAGGCAGTTCCCGATGAGCGTTAATCATCGAAAATATTTGATAATATTTGTATGATAAAAAAAAGAAATATGATTTTTAAAGAAATATTGCTAATAATCAACAATATTTATACAACAAAAGAAGTCTCTGTTGAAATAATGAGATTAAATAGATCTAACAAATGAGGATAACTTATGCTCGTTCATATTCAATAATAAATGAAGATACCAGGAAAAATAATCATTTATAAAAGATAATTTAAATAAAGAGAAAGAGCAAACGACCGTCTTGTATATCTTTATATCTAGTATATATCTATACCTTGAAATTGGATAAAACAAGAATATTTTATACACTTTCATGACTCGTGCTTGTCCATTTTTAAAATTCGGCAAAAACAAGGGCGTCAATTCTGGAGACTCCTGATCTTACTCAAGACAGTATAAGTACAATAGAAATATAGTTATTTAGCGCATTATCATCATCATCATCATCATCATCATATCAGCTGTTAACTATTAATAGTTGAACATAGACCTCCCCCATAGTCTTCCAATATGGAGGATTTCGGGACGAACGGTCCCGAGCCACCTGTATCCATCGACTTGCTGCAATGCATTTGACATCGTCTTCCCATTTAGTGGGGGGGGGGGGTCGTTCTACACTGCATTTGCCTGTATAGGGCTACCAATCAAGAACCTTTCTTCCCTATCGGTTGTCGGTTTTTCGAGGTATTTACATATTTAATGCATATATTGATATTAATACTAAAACTTACCCTCTTGCGACGTTAACACAGAAATTTCTACAAGGTCTAACATCGAGACCCTTGCAACGCGCACATCCACCAACTATGAGAAGCTGGTTGGTGCATTCATCACTGGCTGTGGACAGGACGTGTTCACTGGCAGCCAGAACACCAGCACCAGCTGCCAGAACTTCCAGGAGAGCTCGGGCAGCTTTTAGCGATCGAGACAATGATGTGCCCATCTAGAACAAAGGATTAGTCAAGTTACGACGACAAAAATATTATCCGAACAATAGTTTTTTCGACCAAAAGATGTATGTGCTTTACTTTCATGAAGTTTTACAAAACTAAACATTTATTTATAATTTAAAAATATTCCTTTCAAAATGTTTTTCTATTTGACAGGTTGTGGTACATGTTGACTTATCTGAGCACGGATTTCAAACACTTGCTTGAAATAAGGATAATTTTATTTCTACGATATATAATTATTATAATTAAGTTATTATATTTATTACAGTATATGTAGACAGGTTTATGTCCAGCAGTGGACGGATAATGACTGAAATGAACGAATGCAGACCATTGAAACATGATCAAGTGTACTTTGTTTGGTCTATAAGTCAGGTTATAATTTTATCTCAAGTAAAGTCTAGAAGCCTTACCTTTTTAGGCACATCTCCAAAAGGAACTACAGCGTTGTACGCGCTCTTTAAACAGTCCTCGTACGATGATGTAAACTGTTTTGACTCTAGTTTCAGCACGCTCTGATACGCTATCGGAAATAACTCGATGAAGAACTTTCTGGCGCTATCCGCTAGGTCCATCCCATGGTCTCTGCTGAAATTATGTTCGGGAGTTCGCAGTACGGTTCGAATATCGTCGTAGAGGACGGCAAGAGGGGCGTGCGCTCGCGCTGCGTGGGCTCTGTACAGTTGTGTTAATAGTCCAGCTGTTTTATTCTGTGATTGATGTGATAGCGCCAATAGATGTTCTGTGAAATGAAATACAAAATTAGTATTACTAGCATAAAGTGAAAAGACAAGAGTAATTCTTGTATAAAAATAATAAACTGGTACTGGACAATATAAAGTACAGCTAATATTATTCCCGAGGTATATGAATGTAAGCTTACGTTAATTACATATTATTCACACTTTTTCTATTATAAAACTGTTTATAGAATAAACTGTTATTTGAAAGCACAAGTTTCAGAACGCAATAAATACGTTACTAAATTATAAAGTGAATATTATTAAATATAAATATTATTTCAGTCTGTAGGTATAATAAAGATGGTTAGGCTAACAACAAATTGAGAAATAAACTAAGTAGACGTCTCAACTCTACAAAGTTTTAACTATTAAGTAGTTATGATAGCAAATATTGTAAATTAAATCCTAATATTAACAGATGCTGTGTAAATATGCCTCGGTTAGCTGGCAAACATCCGTCGCGGTTGAATTCATAGTTGGTGCCACCTGTTAGCTCTATAATATTACAGAGTGTTATCTCGGAATGCAGGTTGGGATCATCACCTTACATTCTTAAGAGATATTACCACAAGAATCTACCGATAGTCGGAAACGGCTTTGATTAAATAAGCCCTTGTTATCTTAAAGCTCTGTTATCAAACTTCAAGTAATGTTATGTAAATTGTGTGTGAAACGTTGTCTTTTGGAATATTTAAGGATGAAAGCGTGTTTGAGACGAGATCGTTTTGAGTCTCTTCAACGAATAACTTTCATATAATGCCTTTATAGATAGTAACACTAGTGTAATGCCAAGATACCTAGCTCTTTATAAACTCAGTGGGTACGAAAGTTAAAGCTAAAGCTCAAATTTGTTCAGTTCACAGTAATGGCGCCCGTTTGTTATGGATAGAAATTTCTTATATTATCATATAAGAGTCCAACATTATTAAATTTAATTTCTTCAAAAATTTATAACGTATTAAAAATAAAATGTGATTTATAAATTGGAGTTACTTGCAAAAACGAAAATTGGCTAAAGATATAGTACCTATATCATATGTTTAGTCAATTTTTTTTTGTAATATAAAGTTTTATGAAAGTGTACTAATTTCAAAACAGCATCGTGCTGTGTCGGTTTTATCATAAAAGAGTAATTTCAAAAGTTGCCATAGCTAGCAAGCCGACCTGGCTTCATAGGGGTAGATAGAATTTTTAATATAATATATTGTCTATGTTAATCGCTGCTAATAGTTTCCTCTTTAATATATTAATAATGATTTATGAAATAAACACAAAATATTTAAAGGAAAATTTGTAACCATTATATCAACCATTAACTATCCATTGCTAAACATAGGCCATTCCCATAGACTACCATAAAAGACAGTCTCGAGAATCCATAAGGGGGGATAGAGAGAGAAAAGAAACTTTATAATAATTAAATATTTTGTTCTATAAAACACAAACAGTGACTTGGGTCGTCACAAAATATATATTTACGTGTTAAACAATATAGAAGTAATTTCTATCAATTTAAAATATATTTTTTATTACAAATCTGTCTATAATTGACAAAGATATCGAATGCCCAAATTGGGAACCGTGTATATAAATAAGTTATTTTTAAGAATAATAAATAAAGAATAATAAATAAAAAATAAGAATTTGAAATGGAATTTAGGTGACATTGAAGTTGAATTCAGATTATTACGAGTGATTTTAATGTAACAGTACATAAAGTATTTGGTAATATAAATCTCGACGTATATTTCATGCGAAAGCATAATTCAATTCGGCTCAAAGGTTATATAAATAATAAGTGCTATAAGTCTTTCAGCGCAACTCGGCTGCGAAGCGGGGACCTCCAGACGCCCTTGGGCTACAAACCCTGTCTTATACTGCCTACTATAGAACTGCTAGCTACATGTGTATGGTAGTAATAAAAGTGGATGTCAGTGCTATATAGAATACACATATATGTAAGTATATACGTATATAACTTAGATATAAGTAAAGTTTAACGTAAAGTTCTATATTAGTGATTTTTTTTGTGTATATTTTGTGACTTATTGTTTCATAATTTTGTGATTATTATAGTGGTAATGTTGTCATTATACTGATAATCCTGTATACTCATATAAGAGATTTGGACATATTGCATAATATCTATTTTTTTTTTTAAAGAGTTTTGATCATGTTTATTGCCAGTACTTTTCGAATAAAATTACTATCAGAAAAAAAATATGTAAAAAAGGAACGAAGATGGTCTTTCCCAAGTGTCATATATAAAAATATAGAATAGAACATAAAATTTTTAATCTATTTACCTATACCATAAAAAATTTAAAGTAAAGTTATTCATATAGGTATATCTATAGAAACGCAGATTGTATAAAATAATAAAATCCACATAGAAAACATAAAAAACACCGTATTAGAGTAATTAGTAATCTTTTTAGGTTTTGCTTTGGTAACTGTAGATCCCACAAAAAGTGACTGTAATATTTCAGTGTAGTTTTTACTTAAAGCTTTTACAGTTTCTGTAATTACGTTTCGGGGAAACAGGCGCTCAACAAAAATTCTCAAAGATTTTTGGAGACGTTTTCTACACAGATCGTATTTGATAGGATTTTTTACTATACATATATAGTGTGGATATACCATAAAATATATATGATAAAATAAAAATGAAATGTTTAGGATTTAAAAATAGATAAGTTATTAAAAAAAAATCTTATATTTCTCTTTTATATAATACTTAGTTCAAATATCCATAAAAAAAAATACTATAATATGTTTAGTCTATCTTAACATATTATTTGTGCTTAAATATAATATTCGACTGCTATAGAAAAAAGAATTGATGCTATTTCTGACTAGTACTATTCGATTTATCTCATTAATTAATCTCTAAAGTCCGACCAGTCCACATTTGTTTATTACTTTACCATATTAATACATCACATATCTGTTCATCTTCCTGGTAAAACGAAATGAGCACAAATTGCTTTACTCTAAAACTTGATTCAATTTGAATATCCGATGCGGAGTAATTACTTAAGTGAAATGCTACACAAATTGTTTCCACTAATTAAACCCGATATTCTGTTAAGTTTTCACTACTAAAACTCATGATAAAAGGATCATTTCAATTAAATTTAATAGTCATTTATTAGCTTAATTAAAAATTGGTGTATGTTTTATACAAAATAAATTGTGTGATTTTAAAATACAGATTGACCCCTGTTTAAAATTACAATTAACGTAGAGGTCTCTGTTATTTGGATAACTGTAATTAAGCACCATTTTAATGAGATGAAAATGGAATTGCCACGCTGCTTGTGCTATCAGTACCTATACTTTGGAGTGATACCAGGTGGTGATGATAGATAATAAAGAAGTCAGATCATCGTGATGAACATTAGGAATTAACCACGATGAATTTTAGAGGGGACCAGGTGGAGGTTGATTTGATAGGGTATAACGCTAGCAATTGGAGGGAAAGGGATTGTTAGTACTGGAGACTGAGAATCCTATTGCTAGCAATATACCCAACTAGGTCGACCTCCTCGCGGTTCTCCCTGGAAACTATCATGGTTAATTCCTGATGAATTCATCATGATGGGCTAACTGGCCTGTTTTTATTCTCATCTATCACCCTTTAATGGTACTCTGCCAGCGTATCCCGTTAGCGCAGGCGGGGTTACCATACCATTTTCACCCATAAAAAAAACGCTAGCAATTGGGCTATTAAACTCCATTACTAACAGTTCCTTTTCTCCAAAGGTTATAACTAGACAAGCAAGTCCTCGGGGCTCTAACGAATGTCTTAGAAAAGCCTTCCAGCAGTCCTGTAGGAGTAGGCAACTAATGGCTTCAAGCGAGAAATTCTGCGAGTAAGAGCTAGTATTATATGACACCGAATGTAATGTTGCGCGATCCAAAAAAATACGAATCGTAGCACATAAAATTACGGTCGTTTGGCTCTAGCCGTAGGGACACATTTCGCCGCCTGAATTTGATTTATAAGTACCTTAGTTATATACTATGGTCCTCTAGCTAGAAATTTACATGGTAAATTGCCACCGGGTTTTCATATAAAATAGAGGCATTTTAAGCTGGGCTAATTTAATCATAAGTAACATAATGTGCTACTTACTGACTATAGTACAAATTCAAAATAAAAACATTTAGGAGAAAACTTGAAATAATCAAAAATATTTACTTCAAAATCAAATATTTAGTTCTAGTTGAGGACCTTATAATGTAACAATATAAAGTATCTAATTCTTGTTATGTCTAGACACACAGAAATTAATTCTGAAACAGACTTCTCCGGTTCACGGTACTTCTGTCTTAGTCGAAATTATAATCTACATAATATATTTTTTAATCCTAAACTTATTGTATACGTGCCTATCAAATTTTATGCTGAACAATGAACCGAAATAATGTTAGGTAACAGTTTTTTTACTTAGATGGAAATGCTAATTATAGTCACATACTAATGCAAAATCTTCAATATAAACGAATAGAAAGGAGTAACTGTTGAGTTTCTTGCGAGTTCTTCTCAGCTGGTAACAACATTCCGAACTTAGCAGTAGAATCTTAAAAACGGACGATTTAAAAGAGCGTAAAACCAATAATTATTTGAACAAAGAATATTTCCATTCTATTCTAAAAAAAACAATAAATGTATAAAATAAATCATTATACAATGGAGTTAATTCACCTGTATAATAAGATAAATGGTCAATTCGAAAATAATTGGCGACGAAACTAGAAAATTTAAAATAATTACAAGTCCATATTGATGTCATTATTTTAATCGATTAACGGCATCATACACTATTCGCTATCTATTGTGAACCAGTAGACGATTAATGACGATCGATTAAGCGATTGTCGAGTGCTTTCACCGTGCCGGGTCAATAAACTACCTACGACACAGTTGCAAACAAAAGCTTTTGTTTTAAATGGCTCTTACAAAAAATTACGACCCCAGCTCATATCTCCGTGG